ATACCGAGTTGCGGTAATCACCGACAGGGCTCTCGGTCGGTGATTATCGAGAAAAATCTTGCGGTTCCCAACACTAGTAGTGATCGTCGCTTTTCCAACCCAACTATTCATTTTTTTAGATTTGCAAAATGAAATATATCGTTGAGTCGGTTACTGGCTGAAGGTTCGGATGAGATTCACTCTAGAGGATAATGCGGCCAAACGCAGACGCGGAAAAAATTTCAGTTTACTCCCAGTTCACCTTACCCTCAATCAGGGCACATTAACCGTTGCTTCGAGTGAAAAGAAAAAATTATCGAAACGTAAAATTCTGAATTTGAAGCAACGCTAAGAGGGTGTTACATCCTAGAAACAATCTTTTGTGCTCGGTGGCATTCAGAATAATTAACACACATAAATAAGAATGGCTAAATTAATATACAAACGAGCAGTAATCGTTTTTTGCAACTAATTCAAAGCTTCCTAATTGCATTCTCGTCTCACATCCATCCATAAATCAACCAACCCACTTTATTGTGAATACTGCCACACGAGTACTTTATAGTCGTACTTTGTGTATAATCGTTACTTCCTCTAACTACCACTCTTTTCTGTATAGCATGATTTTGCAATACAGACATGCAAAAACTGAAACATTTTCACTACTCACTTTATTTCCCTTCAACCATCCGGACCTCCAGCCTTTTTTCCGTTCAGCTGAATATGAAACATAGGTGAGAATTGCAAAAACGAGATTTCAATGGACGGGTCGAGACGAGACACGAACATGCATGTGACTATCTCATGGTTTGTTTTATCTTCGTTAAGCGCCTTTAAACATGACTGCCCGGAATGAGATGATACAAGACGATAAACACGACTGGTTTATACAAGCAGACCACGAACGAGCATGACAGTCTTAAGCGAGCACAAAAATGATCAACTTATAGTTAGACAGTTGTTGTGTGGCACATATAACAATGAAGTAAAATGATTACCAGATAAGTGAGAAGTGGTAGGAATACGACATTGATTTACAGACGTATATTCATCCATTGTTTCCGTTTATAACATGCTATAATTAGACGATGTTATTCAAAAGCAAATATGTCAACCGAACTGATCGTTCACCATCTGTACGTAACGATAGAAGAAGTGATTAACGATAACAACTCGCTGCTAATTGTAACGATGTCGTGTCGATTGATCAATGTCAATGAGGGAAATAAACTAGAAAAACATTCTCATGCCAAACAAGTGTACACAACAATGCAAATATAAACGTGCTTCGAGCCACAACAACAACCGACGACAACAACCCGAATTAATAACGGTATATAAATTCACAAAAATGAATTGCACTTCGGATCGAATAAGGATTTTTTGGCGTGCGGATATCAGAGAGGGAAAAAATGAAGAATTTTTGCTTTTGGGCCATTCTTGAAAGAACTGTTGCATTTCCTCAGATAAGTTTTGTTCTTTAAATGGATGTCAAACACTGGAATTATTTCCAGCTGTTCGATTTCTAGCCAAACCTGCTTGATAGATTCGTGTGATTGCTTGACAATTCAGAGTAGATAAGGTAGTTACGTTGATCGATTCAAAATCGACTGAGCAGCACTTCATCAGGTGAACAATTTTCAAAAACACAAAACGTTCTCTATGAATCAAGCTAGTGCGTTCGCGATACAATTTTATAGGCTCAATGAATAAATTAGTCACCACAAATTGTGTAAAGCCGAGAGCAAACGGAGCTGTGATTGGTGCTAGAAGAAAGAGGCGAGTGTTTTGACGCTTGAATGAATTGTTTAATTGCAATATTCACAAAGGGGGCAATCAACAGATTATATGATTGCTGTGAACACAACAAATTAATAAGATGATCAATTTGGAATATAATCAAACAGCGTTGCTTTACCGATTAGTCAATGACTGAAATGGAACTGATGAAAAATTACATAGTTATTTTCAAACGTGAGTTGCTGGCGTTAACAGACGCTAACAAATATGAATTGCAGACAGACGATCAAGAAAATTATTCTGGTTGTTTTAAGCACTGATCACCACCTGCTTAACTGGCAATTTCTGTTCTTTGTTACATCTGCTAGTTGCCATATGGAGTGTTCATGGAGAAAAGAAAATCGCGTTAAAGGTGGTTCATCGTTTTATTTTGTAAATCTTGAGTACCGTTCGCATCAAAAAACGTTATTTGCAGGTTATAATGACATTTCAATGAGTAGAAACACGAATGAACACTTTTACCGATATTCTAATGGAGCACCTAACTACGGCAACAATGCTATCAGACTCACGTGCATGCGAGTGAAACTCTGCTCAGCTCGTGAGCAGATCGACGGACACGAGCAAAACTTTCGTCGGTGCACGTGCAGCATCAACTTTTCACGTATCACTGTACGATATTATTTTAGCACTCGAAAAGAGCTTGTGCTTTTAGATGCACAACAGAACTGTTGCAACGATCTATACGAGTCAATTTTCATTATTATATTCATGCAATCAATACTAATGAATCGTGATTTTCATGAATTTAAGTTGCAAAAAAAAACAATATTTCAAACGGATTACACGAATACCATTTCATAAAATAATTCAACTGAAGCAATTCAAAAAAGTTTACCACCAGATCAAGCCGTTCACATATTACAACACCATCCATATACATACACGAAAGTAAACAGTTTTCAAAACTCAATGAAAGTATATAATCAGAACTATTCAATGGAACACAACAACACGTTACACCGATCTGTCCTTTCAAACAGTCATCAATTTCATCTCTTCCATAATGCCTATTGAAGTTACAAAGGCTTTTAGAGTGCACTTTTGCACAACGACCCACACATTTATCAGTCTGTTCAGCTGGTCTCATCATCACTCGCATTTCTTCAATCTTTCATTGCATGATTCAGATTCTGCATCAACCGCTTTCTAAAAACGTGAATGTCATAAAGATATAAATTTAAGCACAGCGAACTGCTGCAATATGATACGATAATTAAAAATGTTTAATGGCAATACCAATGTCTAGGAAGAGTCGAAATTACAACTTGAAGACGAAAAGATGAATAAATGAATACCTGAAGAACATCTGCAGCCGTAAGCTTCAGTAATTCTTGTTTGTTGATAGCGACCGTTTGAGGTGCGAGTTTACGTTGCAAATAAGATGCCGAAATTGGAATGTCAACAAAATTATCGTCGAAACATTGGGATTGAACATCGGTTGTTAGCATTTCGAATAACTATAAACGTTCCTTGGTGAAGCTATTCAATGAATTAATCCACGGCTCAGATGGATAATCGTGCACTGCATTTATGGAGCACAACATCCCATTCTGCATATACCCATATACTCAGTTGCACTGCTAACTGAACAAACACTTCGTTTTGTCAGCAAAAATAACAATACTGAAACTGATACATAACTATTTTTTAAGTGAGATTACCTTCCTCTCACGGCCATTCTCCAGTTCAAATATGATATCTTTTGACCACAGCTCATTGTTCGGATTTTGTAGTCGACGTAACTTCTCTTCTGTAAAAATTAATGCAAAATTACACATTTTCAGTTGTTTCAAGAAACATCACATAGACAAAAATATACAGTCATCAAAATATACCGACGTAATTTGCTATGATGAACCAAACGAGATATTTCCCTTTGCATTTAAGGAATTATACAGTACATACTCACAACGTTATTAAATCCCAAATACGATTTTATTTGCGAGTTTTCATGAGCTTTAAAAAGCGAAGCAATTCTGGACTTAAACTTAAGCACACGTTGACTTATCTCAAACTCAAACAGCCTTAAGCTGATTTTCAACTCTTTTGAAGTCAGTAAAATGAAGATCGACGCTCAATAACGAAATAAACACCAATGAGTTTATTGGCAACTAGTTGAAGAAAGATGAAGCGGAACAGAAACCTCATACAAAGCTTCACAGCAAACACAAAGCCTCATTACAGCTCCTAAACATTCACAACTCACCTAAATGCTGAAGGTAAGCAGTGTCCGATTCGTACTTTTGCATTTTGTTTATGAATCAGTCAATCACCAAGTCCTTTAAACAATGTTTTTTGTATCAACCTGAATCATATTCAACTCCATCGATCCAAACGGAGGCTTCATTATTCACTTTATGATTACTTTAACATACTTCACTTGCTCATGAAATGCCCACTGATTGGAGTGCGTTTCAACGATTCGTTTCTGTGTGCTTATGACAGTTACATAACAAAACACACAAATCATCCCATCCGCTGGCATGGACTGTCGTCAAATCGAGAGCTTCTGATGATATACAGTGCACAGTGACAATACAAAAATAAATGATCTTGGCCAAAATAACATAACAACGTCCGCTAAAAACTTTCAGTTGTTTTGTTGCAATCAAATATCACAAACAACAATAATAATAACAAGTTGAAAAAAAAAAGTCATCAAAAAAGCAATAATAAAAGAACGTCGCAAATACTACACAAAAATGCAGTCGTCTCAGAAGACATTTTAACTATAAAAGTAAACTAACGTAAGAAGAAAAAAAACTTTATTAGGGTGCAACAACATGTACAAAATAATATGAAATGTATACAGAACAAGCGAGTAGAATCTGTTAAATGTATTGACTTATAAAACTGTCATCAATGCAATAATCTCGATATTGAGGTTTAAATAAGAATATGGATTTCACTCATTTTAAAGATGAATACATAGAAAGGGTTAAAGTTAGATGGAATTGAATTAAAAGAACATAGAACAGTCTTTAAATATCCGCATATACGCATGAATCAAAGGCAGATTAGGAGTTAATTTGATGATGATCAACTATTTTAGCAAGAGCAACTTATTGACAAGAACTGAGGAAGGGTTCGCTCGAATTGACCAAAAAAATGATAGAATGACAGAAGCACGCTAAAAAAAAGTTACAATTCAATTGCAGTCTTGGATGAGCGTTCGTCAATTTATATAGACGTTTATCAGTCAAAAATGCTGCATGCTCAGATGCTACCAACTGCCTCCAATTGAGAAATAAAGCAACGCTCGATGGTGCTTATAAGGTACGGCATCTCAAAACTCCAACTGCTTGCTCTCATTAGTTTAAAACACACACAATTCTTGTATCGATAAGCAGGTCAATTACTTTGTTTAAAACCAAGTGATTCTAGAGCAACCTCACAAACTTGTGCTTTGCCCAGCTTTTTATTCGACGATGCGGTTGCCGGTTCGTATGCAACTCCATTGACAATCACCTTCAAAGTTTATTATCTATCAACACTTTCTATTTAGTAGTATTAAAATCACTCACTCAACACTTATTTTCACCCATCAACTAACAATAATAATAATAATAATAATAATAATAATAACAATAATAATAATAACAATAACAATAATAATAATAATAACAATAACAACAACAATAATAATAATAGCAATAACAATAGTAATAATAATGGTGGCCTTATATCAACAATAGAAATAATAGCAACTGCAATAATAAACATATTAAAAGTAATAATAATAGTAATAATGCATACATAATAATAATAATAATAATAATAATAATAATAATAATAATAATAACGTGATAATAGTGATCAAAATTCATCTTGAATAGCAAGTAGATAAGTAAGCACCTTCCACATGAAACGTCGGTTATTCGTTGGTCCACTTTCATCACATGAGAACTGAGGAGGAGGCCAATGCTTCTTTGAGCATATTTCGATCAGTAATGAGACTGGGTGTTTACCTACAAAACTACTACTAGTGTTTACCTGATGTGCACTAGCACTCTTCTCGTTAATACTTTCCAAATGAACTACTGTTACAGTACCGTTTCTTTTTCTAACTTTGCTCATCTCTATTTGAAATTTACTTTCTTGAAATTGTCGCCAACCAAAGCAGACGAAACAAACTATAATAAATGACTGAAAAAAAAAGAAACGAACCAGCATCAGCTACACCCGACTTTTTTGATGGAGGTAATTCATCAGTTGAAACAAGACCTTAAAATTAATTAATGTGCACTGAACATGCAAGAAAGACTCCTCTGACAAGTGAATTCGATTAAAGAACAACAATTTGAGTCATGCAGCTGGGTACAGTACTGACGTCGTTGAACGCTCATTACATCGAACAGCTGCTTCCGCTAAGTGAGAAGCAGAGACAAGAGAGCACATTATACCTTTTCTGTCTGCTTTCACATCCACACTTAACGGTTCCAAAGGTCCATCACCATCTTTCCCTAATCCTTCGCCAGGTGTCCAACCCATTTTTTCCATCAATTTATGGCCTACACCTCCTGTGACTTTATTCGCACTCTTGAAAAGATCCTAAACGCACGAACTGCTCACATAAATTTATTCAAATTCAAAAAGTAACAGCTTAAACAAATTCTGATAATTTAAATTAAACAAGACTCACAACAATATTTTGTCTCTTTTATGTATCAAAAACATGAATTTTTCGTTATACAGAGCAAACGTGAAAATTATGAGTGAAAACAAAATATATTATATATCGCATTCAATGGAACGAATCTGAGCATTCGTTTGAAAAAAAAACCTTTAACACACAAATCAGTAAAATGCCACTGATATGTAGTACTTTCCTTGAAGATAACAAACGAAAATTCAAAAGAGAATTTCCATTCCAATATGCACCAGTCAGTTATTAGCGAATAATCTTCTGATGAATGATGACCACTTCATAACGAGCACGTTAATGAATACAGCAATAATAATAATAATAATACTGCACTGCTGACCACTGCTGGCAGCGTATTCAAATTTGAATTGAGCAATTCAATGAATAAACAGATAAATAAACAACAGTTGATTAATTAAGAATAAAAGAGTAGTCGCTGGTCTATTATATTAAACGTTTATATAAACCACAACCGCAACAACAAGAGTATAGTAACAGTTCTTGTGGTTCATCCTTATCAGAAATAATTAGGCGATTGATTATTCATTAATATCACCAATCTTTGAAAGACGTTCCATGATCGATATTGTTTTGTTGTTTGTTGGCATATACCGAACAATCATTTATAAATGTTTACACATCTACACATTTAATTGAAATTAATGAACGCACCTGCACCAATCAAGTATACAATGCAAACCTTCACAGACAGAAATAATTCTAGCTCTTGAATCCTATACAGAATCTGTGTCAATGAGTACGTTGGACCAAACATCAAAATTAAAAATCCTTAAATTCACGGGCACACAAACTATGCATCCGTTTTGCACTAAATAAACCCTAATACGAGATCCCATCCTAAACATACAGTTGTTCTTCAAATTTCATTTGAGCATCTAAAGAGGCAACCAAATTTACAAAAACATTTTTTATTCTTCGAACCGTGTATAAATTTTATGGACATTTTATAACCAGCAGTTGAAGATCCTTAAGGGAATTTTTGGAATAGTATCTTGTAAAAAAAATTCGCCAATATATATATATATATATACGCGATAAATTTCATCAACAGAAAAATAATGAAAGAATTCAGGAAACATATTTCGTAAGTGAACTTCCTGAAACGGAGCAAAAGTGATGGAATAAAAATCAACAAATGCAAATGAATAACAAAAACCGAGTTGGTTACAGTAACAGAAAGGTTCTATTATTCTAACTACAACTGATATAACAAAATAAAATGTTTGAGTTGAAAGATTTTCGACAAATATCATCTCTCAAACGAGAGAAGTAGCGAAGGTAATGAATATGCTGGAATCAATACTTGAAGATTTGCTTGCTAAACGCCATTTCAAAGAAAATGATAATCACCAGCCGACTGGTGCATTCAAATGATGTTAGTCACACATCAACGCATCACGATTATATACCAATTGCAACCAAATGCATCAACATTTTCTAGAAACCGTATTCACTCCATTTCGATGAACACCAATCACTCTGTTACGAAAATACACTTCGAAAAACAAAATCGAGCAAAACCTTGTTAACGAGCCATACAAAACTGTTACATCATTTCGCATTATAATGAGACAAGAACCAGCCAGGCAAAAGAATCACATAAATAACGAATTATATATCGATTGAGATATATCCTAAAATAGAGATCAAAAACAGAAACGAATCGATGTGACCTTTAAAAACAAAAAGCTTTATGAAACAGACTCTGATCGCTATGGTGATATTAAAACAATACTGACTATTGTTTTAATATCAACACTTTTTACACTCCACGTTGCCGCTTCATCACAACTCTCCTTTATCATCAACTCAACTTCGATAATAATCAAATGCAATTTTTAAACCAGCGTCGCCAATCATTAATCATATAGATAGATATGTTTGTAAATGAATCAGTCCCTTTTCACCATATGAACAAACGATAGATAGTATTACGAGTAATAAATGACAGAGAGAAATATTGCTTCAGAATAGGTTGCTGCTCAATTTGAATTGAACGACTGAAAAGTCAAATATTATCAGCTTCGACGAGAAAGTGCTTAGATAGTGTTCTAACGTCGAACAGCATCAGACAAGTATTGCTCACTTGAATGAAATCGAATATCAACACAATAACAAAAAGCAACCAGCCTTTTTTGCCCATGCACTGTAACGAGGATCATTAGGTGCCAATTGTTCGGCGGTCAAAATCTGCACACCAGTTGTACCGGTGAATTTTCCAACCACATTCTTACTTTCTGCCCATGCTTTCATCTGAAAATTTTCATTTTTTATCTTCATCCGCTTTTGCATTTCCATATAATTAAGATTTCGAATTGCTTATTCTTCTAAAAACAAGACAATATTTTCGGAAGTGATTTTTACTTTCGATTTATCAGTTTATACCTCAATGTAAGAATTTAAAAGCAAAATTCCAGAGTTGCTGTAATCTTATTAAGAGAGAAATTGTATTAAACTGCGTGGGCGTTGTTCATTAAAATTAAATGAAACACCTGGTCATCAGCCTCGCCAAGCATATCCCTAGCTTCAACATCATTTGGATTACTGACCAGTCTTTTTTTGGCTTCTACTCGCTTTGCTAATACTTTACCAACGTTGGCTGGCTGAAAGTAAATTTATCGTATTGAACATTAATATTTATACTATTCATAAATTCTTATTCATTTACATCAAATCAGCACTTAAAACTTAGTAAGTGATGAAACAGAGACTCAAAATGAAGAGAATGAGCGACTGACCGTTTTATCTAAAATCGTTGGCGAGTGATCGAATAGCAAACTGTTATATTGTGGAAGAGGAGGGGGAGGGAGTGGATGGTTTTGGATGAGGGTTTGAGGAGGAGATAAACATAGATTAAGTTGAGGTGGAGGTGGTGGAGGAGGCAATGAACCTAGAAATGGCAACAAACAACTATCATTCTCTGATTCAGCAGCTGAATTCAAATCGAACCCCGTCGGCTGTAATAAGGGTGGTGGCGGAGGGGGTGGTAGGTGATATGAAGCATTCTTGTCCGATTGAGCATTGCCAATCACCTGCAAGTTTATCCATTTGTCATATCAATAATAAAACTTAACTGAGCATCACAATTGCTATTATGCGCTAAATTTAACGAAAGTGATTTATTTCCAACGACCATATGAATCATTTCAAGCAATTCTAAAAGAAAAACATACCACATCTGTTTCTCTGTGCTGTTGACCTGAAGAGACCGGATAGCAGATTCGCAGCTGAGTCTCTTCGATGGTTCGTTGTGCGGGTGTCTTGATTGGCAGTGGAACAGCATTCTGAACATTTATTATAAATGATAAAATGTTTTGAGACAGCATAAAAAGATAACAATAATTCGTGTTATGTGGCTCAATTTTATGAAAAACGAAATAGAAAGGAATATGAAAAATCACCGTTATATTGATTGTTATTGGTGCAGACTGCTTTAAAGCGAAAGGATGTTTTACAAAATCGGTTTCCTCTTCAGACTTTCGTTTTTTAATAAATGGTGGCACTTCATCATCATCAGGTTCACCACTCTTTCCGTGCTCTTTTTCATCCTTCTCTTGTGACTGTTGAAGTTTTTGACAAAAATCTGGAGAAGTAAAATATTCACAATGATATTTGAAGGGGTTAAACCAAAGAAAAGGGTCGAATGTCTTACCAACAAGCTGATCTACAGATTGTCCACTAGTCTGCGCATTTCTGCTGTTTGAGTCAGTTGAAGTAACCGCACCACTCTGAATATCATCAACAAAAATAGATCAAAGCAAATCAATATCCCAGCGATATTTACTGCAATATGTAAATAAATACAATGTTGCACCTGTGTCATTTGAGCAGCATTGCGTTGTGCAATTTCCAGAAGTTTCTTCTTGTCAATCTTGTGCTCGTCACTTTTTTCATCAACATGCCTTCTCCTCAAACGTTTTCCATGTCGGTATTCTCGTCTACTTGGCGATCTCGAGCGACTACTACTATTGCATCGAGACTGAGACTGTTCAGAAGATCGGGTTGAACTACTACGCGATCTAAATTTAAATTTAGTTCCTTGATTAAAAGAACTGCATTAATGCACCATTTGAAGACATCAACAAGCATTTCAAACCTCAACCTTCTACTAGCAACTGCAGAATTAAATTCAGTTTGGTAGAAATTATTCAATTTATATGCTGACAATATGAGAAAAAATTGAAGGATTTAGCTGGATGGTAATCAACTGACTATGAACAACTCAATCACTTGAGAGAGAGAGGCTTGTGGCTACGAGATGATCCTTATTGTTAGAATCTTTGTCACTGAACATCTTGATTAAATCAAGCCTTCTCAATACCCTTTCGCTGAATAATGCAACAAAATTTGTTTGCAGAGGTCAGATGAGCTGCAACTCCAAACAAGGATCTCGAATTAACTTAGAATATTACATACCCCGATGCTGATTTTGATTTAGACCTCGACCTTGAATACTTTTTCGATGAACTACTATACGAACTGCGAAACTTCTTTGGTCGACGCCTTGAAATAATAAGCTATGATCAAATGATTGAATCAACTGGACAAGATGATCTTTTTAACAAATTTAAATAAATTTTGCATGGGAATCAACATTCTGTAAAGATATCTCCATATCTTCAGGTAAGGTCAGTTTTATCAAATTGTGCATCTAAAGGTACTGGAAATCCAATGAAACGATGACTATAAGAGAGAAGTAAAATTATAAGAGAAGCGCATACAACGTGCTAACGAGTTTAGTTTCATAGCGGTTTGATGCGTAAGTGGATCGACCTCGTTGAACTGACACACGATAGTGATGATGAGAACGGCCGCGGTAACGATCAACTGCTGGTGCACTTGAATCGTTGCCTGAACTCATTCAAACATCACGAAACTTTCATTCATCCGACTACACACAGTACTTGCACAAAATAGATCCTATCATTGAAGATTTGTGGCAACAGATAAAGACCATACCAAAGGATTTATATGACGGTAGTCGTCTTTTATGATTATCGTTTACCCACTGCGTTTCAAAATTTCGGTCATATGTCTCTTCATATCGATCCGAATACAATCGTGAATATTCACCGAATGCTGATGATCTGTAAGTGTCATCATCCGAACAAATTCTTAAAACGTCAACATCAGTTGTTACTAAGCATGTTAATTTCTAGTTGCTTAGAAAAAAGATCAACTCAATAAGCGTTTATGTAGCATGAACAATCGAACATTATCGACGTTTTGCTTAATTATTTTCATTTGGAAATCCTGGTCAGCAACAATTGACTGAAGCGGATCAGCTAAACGATGCAAATCGATGATAGAAAGTCATATGATGAAAAATCGAGAGCAAAGATTACAGAAAAAAAGAAAACATTCATCTAGTCAAGTCAACTTAGTGCATGCATCTTATGCGTAGCCGACTGATTAATGACGAAGTGCGTTAAAATTTACGTATGAGCGAATTGCGCTTTTGATTTATTTTCAATAATTTTCCACTTCTTTTCGCTATCTGAAGATGATGAAACACTCTCCAAATGTTTGTGTTTCTCTTCCTCTTTCTCCTTGTCATGTTTCTTTTTCTTCTTCTTTTTCCTATTCTTTGAATCTTTCTTGTTGTGATGGGAAGCTGTAAAATGATCATTATGCATCCTTCAAGCATTCAACTACTCCATCAATATCACTTTCTAAGTTCATTCGATTAATTTCTGTCGCAACAAGGAATCCAATATAAATCCAGCTCAATATTTAAAATTTATCACTAAGAGTGCCTTATAAGGTAACGACAAAAAATGAAAACGATCAGTTAAGAAATGAAATGAAACAAAGTACATGAATTCAGTGCTTCCTCCTCGTCTTCGCCAGCATAATGGCCAACTTCTCGATTTGCTTTTGTTGACGTTTTATTATGGTCACTATCACTAACATTATTATGCTTTTCATACTGTGACGTTGTTTCTTGTTCATCAGATGAACTTGATATACCACCACTAGCTTCACTGATTGGTATTTCTCCATTTTTACCAATCACTGACAACGGCGACCTTCTTTCATTTACTTTCTGCAAATGAAAAACTCCGAGCTTATAGCATATCAACTATCTCTAACAACATTAACCTTAGTCAAGGATGCAATCTTAACACGACCCACTGATTTTATAGGGGGATGTGCCAATGACAGTTGCATTTCATCATCATCATCAGATATCGGCAACGGTCCCGATGGAACACCAGCTGAAACGACACGCGGTCCATACTCCTCGTTCAATGTATCTTCTTTACACGCCTCTGAACAAAGTAATTTACAATAATCCACTGATATCTCATGTAACAACCGAATTCTACTCCGTCATAAAAAGACTGCCTTTTTGAAAGTAATCAGACTGAATGATGAAATGTATGTATTGTTAGATGAATGCTTCATGAAAGTTGCTATGAAAACTTGACTGTTATTGCAAAACGCTATGTGATAACCAACCCGTTCTCGTAATATTACCGTCATTATTCTTATTCCACTTCACACCATCATTTTCCTCTGGATGACATTCATTGACCACACTCAAACAATATCACAGTAATAAACAATATTTTATTAAAATAAAACACGACTAGAAAAAACTAATTTAAAAACATAAATCAAACATAACTCAGGCACTGTAACAGATATGTAAGCCACACGTTCGTCTGGGTTACATCCCTATTACATTGGACAACGCCTTCATTTTTGTCGAATAATGATTATATCAACAACAGAATGAATGAATCAAATGAACAGTACCGTAACGTGAAAAAATACATCTTCCAAATGTACGTCATTCAAAATGCTTACTTATCAAAGAATTGAAAAGACAGCAAGCGCAATGAAAATAAAAAGAATATTCCCATACTCACCTATGTTTGATTTCCTGCTTCAATTTAATGTTTCGTGGTACGAATGCGCCAGAATCCTTCTTCGTACGAACTCGTGCAAGAATCTGTGACAGTGGCCTCTTACTACGTTCCAGTGGCGGGCTATAGTCACACTCTTTCCTTACCTTCTTCGAAATCGGAAAGAATTCTTCATTTGGAACTGAAATCACATGAACCTATGTCATAATCATGTATTTATTAAATTTACATCTATAAGATACAAAGATGCAATAGCACTATCATTGGTCTTTCAGCAATTTTACACAGCAGTTCAATTTCGGACAGTAACCGAATTCGGCGACAAGAAATAGATACAAAGTGGCATATTGTGAAAGGGATCGATTGTAAATTAAGAACGGTTTGTTTTCTATCATAAACATCTGCCAAAAAACACGCATACGCATCAAGCGAGTGTAACTCATGCATTTAAATAAAGCTAACTCTAGATAGGAAGGCTTAATGGGAGAGTTAGGGTGGGACCTAAGGGCAGTTAGTTTCTCGCAGTAGACCCTGAGGAGCATCAGTAGTACATCATGTAAGATGAAGAGCCGCCAATTTTGGATTACGGATGCAAACAAATCCTAAGGAGAATAGGCGCTGATAAAGTTGGAGGAGGCTACGAAAGTTAAATAGCATTTCAGCAGAGATGAGAGCAGCGAGATACCTGTATTTTGCTGGTACATAAATGACACTTTAATAGATGAGGTCGTCATCAACAATAAACGAGAATTCAAGCTACGTGATGCATAAATGAATGGTCCTAGCCAAGAGTGGATAAGCCAGCAGTCACATCAGACTATGTCTCACATCTCCGAAAACTGTACATTTTCCACAAGTTTACAGTCGGACGTTTTTAACGATTCAATTCAAAATGAATTTATGATCAAAAATAACTCTCAAAACACCTTTTCACCCTCATTTCGCACAAAAAGTGACGTAAACGAACATGATTAGCACTATTCTCCCATTCAGATGAATGTCACTCAACCAAATTCAATACCAACAATCATAACATAAATATTCAAGTTGAAAGAACATACAAAATTGTATTATATCAAAGTTGTAATACTCACCAAATTCCCTACGCCTGTTTCGACCCGTAATCATCACTGACGGCAACGTTCGATCAGCAAATTCGTCAAACGATGTCGAATTCGTCGAGTTCGTTCCTACCGTCAAGAAATCGGCACCCATTGGAAGATCGTCCTCATCATCAGAAACCTCAAACGTGAGCCATTGATGAATTATCACTGTTTCCAATTTTTATCACAATTAATTAATAATTTGATATGATTTCAATAAATCAAACACTAATGAAATTTCAACCTAAAATTGCTTTTCGTATACATCTATCTATCTGCAAAAGAGATGAGCATCTTGTGATCATGCAATTAAATCAACAATTTCTCTTTTCACCTTCTCTATTTTGTGTTCCATGGATAAGGCAGTTGTGGTAGCAGTCGGTAAACCAGATCGAGGCTCATCATTATCATTATTATGCTTTATCGATGACGAGCGGTGTCGATTATGACGCCTAAAATAAACGCTTATCTAGTCGATACATATCCAATTTTCATCGACCTGGGAGCCGCTTTCGGTAAATCAAAATTTTCTCGAATTACTACACTCATCACAATTCGAATCGCTGTAACCAACAATATTGCCTATCACGAAAAATTCCACGAGCCGTATGTGAAATGCTCGTAGATCATACAGTGAACAGCCCTTATGCATTCTTTCTTATTCTGCTATTTCTTAATTCAAACTTACTTATTGAGTTGAACTAAAAAGTAAACAATAATTTCGTTTCAGAAATTGAAAGTTGATTGAAACAATTAGATGCGATCGATTAATTCACAAACCGATTTTTGTGCTCGGATGGCGATCCTGACTGTGTTCGTTTAGAAGAAGACTTTTTGTTTTTCTTCGATTTCTTCTCTTTGTGTCGTTTTCCTTTACTTTCATTTTTTGATGAAGTACTGAAAATTACTGCACTGCTTTCCTGGACGCACTCCAAAAATGTTTTTACACTATCAATGAATTCTGACATGCTTGAATGACGATTCTATTGAAATTCATCGATGGTCCTCTCAATTTCATGTTCGTACCAAAAACCGGAAACCCTTTCGATGGAACACGGAATCTAGTTAATTTAAGCAACAATCCAATAAAGAACTTGAACGACCTCGATTACTCACCTTTCTTCATACATTTTCTTTTCATGACCACCTATGAGTACATTTACGTCGAAAGGCTGCAAACAACAGTTGAAAATAATTTTTAAAAGTTGAAACTGATATAAGATATGAGCAGGAACTTCGGCTGTTAAATGCGATCACTTACATACACTTTTGACATATCAATGTACTAGTAACTGATTTGAACATAGATTCTTATATTGACTGCTACAATTATTGGAATTCACAAAAAAGTTGCTTCGGAAAAAATTACTGATTCTGACAAGCTAAAGTCACGATCTGGCCAATACTAATCTTTGAAACTTTTAGTGACTGGTTGTGGCCAATGCCATGAGTGCAACTACAGAATATCAGTTATATTTCAGGTCAGAGAGCGGGTTTAAAAATTGACTTTTTCTGTTGCTTGGATGCTAAGCGACTTTGAAGACCCTTTGATCCCAGAAGTTGTACTCAGACCGTCAACAGAAAATTGGTAACGATGAGGTCGTTGTAACTCTCCCTTCACAAGTTAAATTCGGACGGATTGCATATCAACAACGTAAAAACTGTATCCTTTCAAGTATTCTTCTCTGTTTCATGGTACGATGAGAAGCAAATCAGCTAGCGAAAGACAAAATTTAAAATCTACACCGAAATTTTAGAGCGACTTCGGTTGTTCTCAACAAAAATGTAATTTATTTTGATCAGCATCACTATGAGGCACTACTGCAGTTAATCAAATCATATTTAACTGAAACTTGACATACCGTATTCGATTTCTGCACTTCATCTATGAGAGACGCTATAATTGCCTCACTTTGCGAAGGGACTGACATTGCGTCATTTACAAAATTTGCTAGGCTGCGGGATCCCTAAAAATTTTTATTTCAATATGACACCTTCCCAGATGCGTTCAAAAGAGAATTTGGCGTTTCCTTCAGCAATTAACAATTATCTAGTCCATTAACAATATCTATGGCGTTCAACCGATAACTAAAGCAACAACAAGAGAAGAGTGAGATGAATTTGCATGAAGTTGAGATTGTGAGTCAAAATAACTGTCACAAAGAGGATCCTCAAAAAACGATGTATAAGAAGACGCTGAAACATCAAACATCTGTTTCAGATATTCTTTGGCATTCACGAAAGTCAACTAGACACGAAACAGATCGAAACTTTACTAAAGCTGAGATGATGTCGTGTTCTTCATTGAAGATAAAATGATTTTCATCGGTTTTTAAGGATGATCGGGGGCGATATGAAATTTTTACTGCAATGACTTTTCCTTCACAACACTTTGTGCGACGTTTATTGCAATAAATAAACTTGTTTGACGTTGTGTTCACCTCATGTTTAGAAATTGCCTACAATGGTACGTTCTCGAAAATTTCCGGAAAAAATCAGCTATGTAAGATTACCATAGACGCTACACGTGAGACTCAATCAGAAGGCTAGAAAGACATATGCTAATGATACCAAAAAGCAAATGGCAAAACACTTCAACGATCCAATATCCTGATCCCTCTGAATACACGAAGTTAACGCTTTTCCTAGTGATGACTCGAAATTCGGTCGTTTCAACTCTATCTGCTGACACACTTTCATCTTGCCTTCTTAAAGAGTACATATTCTGCGGTGTTTAAATGGCATTAACCACAAATCAGTCAAAAATCATAAAGAACTTCATTTTTTCATCAAGTCTTCATATAACGGCAACGCTTTCCCATCAACCATTTTTCCATAACAGAAGGACGATTGTGTTCATTAATTGAAAGAGAATTTCTCTCATCAGACGAAGTGTGAGAGTGTCAGGAGAGGGCGTTCAAATCACTGTTGATTGATTTTCTAATAACTCTCCAATAATGTTCCCAAGATTCTTGTTTGATCGCAAGGAATTGATTTATTTCACGAAGCTAGCAAATCTTTTAATCAATTCAGCAATCTCCTGATTCTCGCCTGAACTTTCGCTAAACAATAACAGATTGACCTGAAGGGGGAGGAAGAATAGCGGTCGAGCAGATTTTTCGGGAAGAAAACGTAGAGCAACGGCTAGAAAACCATTGATCTATCCTAAGCGTGGAAAATTCTCAATTTATTCATAGATTCTGCGTATTCACAATATACTTGTGAAGTGGACGATTGCTTAGCGATCATTTTGGGCGATCGGCAGAATTTACGATTAGTGAATGGTACTGCTGCTCGACTGTGTTCAATTATGGATGGCAACGAATACACATTGTTGCTTGCCTGTGGAAAGGTTAGTACGCCGATCGCTATGGATCTATCCAGTTACAATAATTATCGATTGAGAAGGATTACTGGTTTATGGCTATCGGTTGTTTTCGACAATCACTTCGCAATAAACGCATTTTCACTCTCGACCAATCGGAGTGTATTTCTAGGCTCATTTCGAGTTGTTTATAAACGATTTCGAACGATATGCATCACAGCGATAATTTCGCGTTCTATACGTTAGTATCATTCAGGCCGATATTTGGTTGATAAGGACTACGCAATTGTTCGTTCCGGACCTGTCCAAGACTTGTCAGGCCAGGCCGAAATTTGTAGGATCAAAATAGGAATGACTTCTGCGTCGACCAGCAAACCATGGCTCGGTATATAGATATGGCGAACACGGATGTTTTGGGTTACTCTCCCATACTGCTCAATGATTTCTAGGAAAAAACTCAAGAAGAGCCCGAAATTAAACTTCGATTAATCGAAGGAAAATGCGTTCAATAATCGTTGAGTAGCCGTTTCAAACAGTTGACAGCAGTAAACCAGTATCCTTTCGGAATCAATATTAAACAAAGATTTTAATTAACGTAATCATCGCAATCAGCATGTTAAACATTTCAAAACCAAGCAATAAGGAAAGTCCCTTGCCATCCATAATTTAACACGGAAAGTATCTATGGCAAGGGGCATTCCTTATTGCTTGCATCCAATAGCCGATCTAGTAAATAATCGTAACAGCGATAAATATTTTGCCGATCGCCCACAGCGGTACCCCACTAATACGCGATATTAAACACATCCAGTTTCTGCAGTATCCCATTAATACCCGATTACTGATTAAATAAATTAATAAATATTTATTCTGTAAGTTAAGCGCACGTCACATGGTATGATCGTGTGGCGAAGTAATCTTTGTAGGGTAAAGGGGTGCCGTAACTGCGACTCCGATAAAACATACACATTCTTATGGCATTCTGCAAGGTTCAGTCATTTCACCCCTCCACTGGGCCGATTAAAAAATTTCAAGTACACAGTTTAAAGTCAATTTGTCTGAAGATTTCAGTCCGAAACTTAGGCGTCGTCTTGGTCTACAAGTTAATAGTCTTAAGACATTTTTAAAACCTTACAACTGGAACGTAAATGGTTTTCTTACTGGACGCGAGTCTTACGGTTCATCATTTTACATCAACTAAAAATGAAAAAAACTACCAATTTATTTAAACATTTCAGTAATTCCATGAGAAAGAGAAATGCAAACAACTCCCTATTTAACGCAAAAAATCAATAGTTAGGACAAAGTGGGCAAATTCATGGAAAGTTGGAAAAATAGGTTTGCGCTCCTTCACATCGTGACCATCTGCCCAGCATGGGCATAATTCTAAGCCTTTTCTCATGTAACATTGCGGGAATTTACCGGACGTCCGATGCTAAATCAATGAACAACAAATTAATGAAACGAGAGTTCGCCTGGGAAGCTTCGCCAACAAGATGGGATATTGCGGAAAGTGAATGTTAAAGGAAAATGCCAACGGGCTGGAGCGGTGAATGAAGTGGAGCGTTTATGTTGATGTGAATTTTAACGAATGAGATGAGAGATTAGTAGATTTTGATGCGTTCGGTTACGAATCATCCCATTTCTTTAAGCTGGTAGTGGTGATGGGCGACTATTCCAGGTTTTTTGGACCAGTCCATGCGTCTTTGATCCAAAGCGGGTAGGAGAGGAGGGGAGGAAGTTTCATCATCGGTAGTTTTAAATAAGATGTAAAAGTAAGACCGAGTTCACAAAGTCTTGCATGGAGTGCATAGGTACTGTTGTAAAAAAAACCGCGGTCGCTAATGATTCATGATTTCTATTAATTTCACTTTAAACACTCGTGTAATGTTTTGAACTTGTTAGGCGAACGTGGCGTTGCTCAACCCAATACCGCAAACTCTGATACGCAGAAGAATATGCCTCGTGAACCGGATCACGCTGTTTGTAAGCAAGCAGTCTAATCCCCCCATGCCTTCCCTCCCACCCGCACCTCCTTTTCACAGATGACTGTTGTACTACCGCTTTATTTTCACAGTTGACCAGAATTTAAAAGTATCATCTCATTCGATATAAGTTGGCAAGTAGCATTCGCCCCACTTTGTTCAACTGTTGCATATTAACCCACCTTCCCAATAAATACCTTTATTTTTCACAACAAATTGATTTTAATTTAGTCAGCTAATAAGAATTACGTAGTGACTGAGCGATCAAATATATGGGAACATTCAAGACCCATATCAACTAATCATCATGCTATCTGCGAATTGGATTCCTGGAAATCGTCCGCGTAAGCACTACGGATTCCGTGTATTCGTAGCGTCCTGCATTTTCTCAGCGGTGACTATTGGTTAGTTTGCTTTTTTGATTGAAGTTTTTTGGTTCGTACATATTTTGACTGTTGAAGTTGTATAGCTGGTTGACTTGCAATTAGATGATTCAACTTTCAGCATTAGTACTATGGGATAACCATTCACAACGCAAAAGGCGTCAGGTTGGTGTAAAAGAACGACTCAAAACAATTCAACAACAGGAGAACATGAAACAATATCAATCTCAGCAGCAACTATATGAACGTTATAAAGATAATCGCTACTGAAAAAATAAATTTATTTGTAGATATGTGGTTTTCATAAATACATTACATGTGTGCTCTCTGCACGGAAACAAGACAAAATAAATCAACCGAGAACGTGACAAAAAGAACAAACAACTGTATCATGGACCAGTTGTTCACTGGACGTTGAAAACAAATGGGATTAATATTTACACGACAGATTGTATAATAAATATGACAAAATTTGAGAATGTAAATAAAAATTGAGGACTGGGTATTCCAAGTATCAAAAATGTAAATCGATTCGAGTCAGATTCTGAGAAAAACTCATGAAAATTGTGAAGAACGATACATCCCCGTAACTTCTTAAACAATTAAGATTCGGTCCATGCTAGAGCCACAGTATGTCTGTAAATTATAACTGATACCAGTATTGACGGATATAACGATAAAATATTCTTATTGTTAGAACAAGAAATTGAAAAAACTGTGTACAACTATATGCACATATGAACAAAACTGTACATTTACATGAATGAATCAACTGAAGAAGGTCCACTTCTCGAGTATTATCCACAATCAATTAATGAACATTAAATTGAGAAGTCACATCATGATATAAATATAAATCAAATAACGTTTTCGCGACAAACTATCCTTAATGTCAAATTCCACTGTGTTATCACCGGCGATTTTATCATGCTTTGCTTGTTATTAACAAGTTTTGTTTATAAAACATTGCGGTAACTTGGTTTCAACCCAGCGAAGAATAGCTGCCAAAAAGTTGTGGTATTCAATAAAATTTTTATTGGCTTACTGCAATGAATTCTATTCTAGTGACCATCCAAACGCATACTAATCTAAGATTCACTTCGTATTGAACGTATCTAAATTGATGCACTGCTGTAATGGATTGACATCCAAAGATACTACTTGTTTGTAAGCACGATACGGTACACCAGAACATTGATCACAAATGCGACGTACACTCAAATAAATACGATTAACGAATCAGGGAAATAATGTTTTAAGGTAGATATTTGATATATTCTATCAATGCTTTGCTTAGTGGCAGCTTTTCCATACGACGCTCAAATTCAACCGAAAAGCGTTTGATATCTTCCATCTGAAATTTCTCTTCTTCATCCCGTAAATCGTCTTCTTCTGCATCGTTATTTGAAGTATCCGCTGACATATGCTCCTGAACGATCATAATCAAATAATCTTGTAGTATACTGAATTCATACCTTTCGTAGAAGGAAGGTTCAGATTTGCCTCATCAAATTTGATAGATGAAAACGTTTTTAAAATCAAAGCATCTCGAATAATATTAGTCGGCTAGTCATCACCTCTGAGAAATCGACAACTGAATGTGGCATCGACTCACGATGTAATAACACCGCCGATACATCAACATTTACTGATTCCCTTTCTTCATCTCCATCTGATTCCTTCAATATCAAATAGATGAACTTATCTTCCTCTAATGTTCAATTGCATTTACGTTTACAGACAAAATGATAACTGACCACAACACTGTAAGAACGTTGCGCATCATGAATGGCAGTAGCACTATAGTCTGATGCATCAGCGTTCCTAGCTGATGCACCAAAGTTATCAGTTGTTACTTCGCGTTCATTTCCACTGTTATCAGTTTGGTTGTTTATAGATGTCTCCTGGTTTATTCGTTGATTTTGCTCACTGTTATCGTCACTTTCTCCGTTAACACTTTCATTTTGCATATTTTCATCGAAAACCACATTCGCTTGTTTGCTTGTTTCATGATTATTATTATTTGGCGTATCTTCATTCATTTCTATTGAATCATGTTTTTGCACTTCTCCATTGTGTCTTTTGGCACCTGTATTTTCACTCTCCTGTCCATCTCTACGAAAAGAATTGACAATTAACGAACACTAACAGCAACAATAACAATACAAAAGTTCATAATGAGAACGTTAGTCAACGCGGTCATTTACTCAGCAAGATTGGTGTAGTTTTTCAGGTAAAGTGAACATTGCGCTTTCAGAATTCTCACAACACCATTTCGATAAAATGGCTCAAATCAAAACATAAAGATGAACATATGGGAAATGCAAAATTTTTGTTGCATATTCAGATAAAATGCATACTAATAGCCGAAAGAAAGGCATTGCATGAAAGCGGAGAAAATGTATCTGAAGATGTTATCTACAAATATGATCTTTTGGGAAGGTGAGAATGAAAGACGAAACAATGGCCATAAAAGAAGGCAGTCGAATCGAAAGCAGGCAAGTCGGATCGTCGGACAGATCGAAACCTAACTTTCACTTATTCATAATCATTCAATTCAATGTATTGTTTGCCCAAGACTGGCCTTTAGTACTCTGTGTTGGACTCGTATACTCTTACTAATCTGTACATTATATTGAAGTTATTATTAACCGAGACTGGCCTCTAATATATCTCGTTCTGTTCATTGTATTAAATCATTGCCACCACGATGATATTGGTCTGTTTCCTTATATCAAATAAATATTTACTTAGGGAAACGAACTGATCGTAACAAACCTTGAACGTTTACCTAACGTTGTTGATATAGCACTCATCTGAGCATTATTATCATTTCGTTCTTGTTGTGTTTGCTGATCGGAATGACGATCAATTTCTGCACGAGTATCAGTTCGATTCGGTTCAATCTCCTCTGATCTAATCAAAGACTTGTTCTCTTTAATATCACAACACGATCAATAACCACTACTGTTCATAACTGCTTCGATGAGTTCAAATGTGGTCATATGCAGTCAACTTCAACGACCTTTTTACATATCAAACTTTTAGCCAAACTGAGTGAGAAAATGATTATCTGATTGTGAATAAACATTTGCTTTCTCGAAATTCAACTCAGTTGCTCACACTGCTGGCAAATGCTTAAAATTTCATACGGGCATCCTGTGCCGAATCACGAAAATTAGTTTCGGCAATCACTGTTGTTTAGTCAATCAAAACATTTCGTCAGATGGCTGAAATTTTCGATGGATCCCGCGTCGTCGTTCCGATCGGGCGCCGATCCGATCATTTGCTCGTAGGCTTCAGCGCCGACTTGGGCACTCGGCTGCCTGCCGCTACCAACACTACTCACCAACCAATCGCATCATATTCATACCTCATCTTATCGATCCATTCCAACAGTATAATATCACATCGGATTATGGAATCGAGTCGGAAGATTTTGTAATAAAAATTTGAAAAATTTAATGAACTAATGAACCACCTCTCACTTGTTTCATCCAGCTGCGCGTCATCGGCATAATCCTCCGGATCACTATCTTCCATTTCAAAGCCCAGTGCATGCATACCTCTGATCACTTGCGCAGTTCCGTTTCTCAAACGCTCAACCTTATTTAGCTGTCTGCACATTAGCAGCTGAGATTGTCATTATGATATCTGATCCGTATGTTATCAACATTACTCGTTAAATTTGAAAGGTGAAACGGCTTGTCAACAGACTATATCATAATATTCAAACTAACGGTAAGCGACGACGTTCCGCAACATTTTGAGGATTCCTTCTCATCAGCTAAATAATTGCTTTAATTAGGAACGTTGATCAAAAGTATCAACGACAACATTGACTGTAATTCGGTATGCATCCTCGCCGACAGATTCTCATTTTTTACTTCGAATTTCTCAATGAGTTCTTCTTTCCGTGCTCATTTTTTTGCTCCATATAAAAACAATGTTTACTGAGTTATGACTATAAGCAGAACGGCAAAATGAGGAACACTGTTACGGATCTATACTAATTCACCTCTTGCATTTCAATGACAACTGGAGTTGGGTAAAACGGCAACATTGGCCTTCTGCGAATATTGGCCATTTCTTCCCCATACACATGAACTTCCCTTTCGATCGCTCCATCAGAACCACGATGAATTACTAGTGACGGTTCTTGCTCGCTGTCTGCACTTGCCTCGTTGGTGGTTGTTGATGTCTCAAAGAGTTGAATCAATACTGAATAAAAGTGGCAATAACAGCACAACACAAACTCACATTATATTTACGAATTCGTATCTTATAGGATGGCATCATGGCCGTACGTACGCATCTTCGAATAGTCTGGGCACATGCATGTTGCAGTGTTGCAATGCTGAACGATGGTGCCCTTGACCAACGCTCATTCCGAATATCCTCTTCAGACGGCATGATGAAATCAGAGAATGATACAGATGTAATCATTTTTACGTGAAATGTGTCATCACTTACACGACGAACTTGTTCCAACTGCATATAAAAATATCAACT